CCTTTGCTTTTTTGACTACTTCTATTCGTTTTCTTCACCTCACTCCTTCCTACTTTTGCTCTCTTAACATGTCTTCCCCAAAGCTGTGAAGGGGAGCAGAGTTCGTCATCCCAAAATATGTCTCTTTGGCTAAGAATTATTCTAAGCTGGTTATTTTTAAGAAAACACAGACACTGGAGAAGCTCTGAAAACCAAGCAGAAGTTATCCTTTATGAAGGACATTGACATTTATAAGTGAAATTTCCATTTATAAGGGTATATCAGAAAGAGGGAGATGACTCAGTCTCTAGAAACTCTTAATAAAGAGGAAGGCGATATTTAAATCTGCATAACCTTAGCCTTGTTTACTCTGCTTTTCCTGGTAATCTCCCATAACTGATTCTCCCAATCCCTAACATCTTTTGTCTTTAGCTGAGGATGATATTTAAAGTGATGACTTCCACCATTTTAGTGAATTAGTGTAGCCACTATGGAAAACAGTGTGAAGATTCCTCAAAAAATTAAAAACAGAGCTGCCACATGACCCAGCAATTCCACGTCTGGTATTTATCCAAATAAAGCAAAAACACTAATTCAAAAAGATATATGCACTCCTATATTCATTGCAGCATTATTTATAATAGCCAAGATATGGAAGCAACCGAGGTGTCTACTGATAGATGAATAAAGATGTGGTACACACACACACACACACACACACACACACACACACACACACACACGAAAATTACTCAGCAATAAAAACAAATTAACTTCTGCCATTTGTGACAACATGAATGCACCTGGAAGGCATTATGCTAAGTGAAATTAGACAAAGGCAGACAGGTACCATATGATTTTACCTATATGTGGAATCTAAGAAAACAAAATAAATGAAAAAACAAAACTGAAACAGACCCATACATATAGAACAATGAGGGATGCCAAAGGGGAGGGGATAGAGGATGGGTGAAATTTTAAAAATAATTAATTTTAAAACGTTGACTATAACAAAAAGAAAAAAGAAATAGTTTCATTCGTTCTTCGAGCATTTATTGAATTCAGCCTCCCTCATGAAGCATTTCCAAATTTCCTCAACCAGGCTTGTTTAGTCATTTCTTTGATGTTGCTTTTCTTTTTTTAACCTCTCTTATGTCATTAATATATTTTAATATGCTTTGTATTAAATTTGTGTGGTTGTCTTAGTCATCTATTAGTCAATTCTTGAAGAGTGAAAATAAATCTTATCCTGATTCTGTTTATGGATAATAACTTCTGGGTAAATATTTGTGATATGTATTAAATTGAACCAAAAATAATATAATTGTGAGTTGATAACTACTGAGTCTTGTGTCAGATTCACTTCTTATGCTTCATCTCAATGTTTGTTAAGCCTAGTGCCATTGTTACCAAAAGCTCCTTCATGATGGGTTTCTTGGCAGGGAAAGAAATTGAAAAATAGATCAGGTAAGCTGACTTTATTGGCTCTAGTTCAATCATTGGTTTCTCTCAGAGGAAGTGGGTGTGAAGCCGGAAGCCTGAGGCAAAATAAAGACCTAGAGCATTATTTAGTAAAAGAAACAGTTTTTTCTTAATCCAAAGCATTTGTTTGGTCCCTTTGACTTCATTATAATGACATTTCTCCTCTAAATGTCAGATTGCTAACTGTAGATATTTAAATGGTCAGTATAGATTAATACAAAGTAGAAACACCAAAAGACTCCTAAATCAGACACCTTTAAAAATTCAGGTTTTATTTACTTAATATAGATTTCAGGTATCTTTCTATCTTTAGTTTAAATGTAGGGAGGAGGCAAGAGAATAGAAAAGGTTAATCAAGCTACAATCCGAGACTGCAATATGCTGATCAGCCCTGCAGCCAGGCCAGGAGGACACCTTCAGAACTAAGGAAGATTTCTGCTGGGATTGCTAACAACCTATTCCCCACACCTATGAAGGGGAAACGGGAACCAAGAGTCATTCCCTATGGCTAAAACCATGGGGAACCTCTGGATTAAAGGCTGGGAACTGCCAGCTGGCCTTTCACTCTACATATTCTTACCTTTCCATGCTACATACTCTTCCCCTTCTTCATTGTATGTCCATATCAAAGGAAATGGGAACTAAAGAATGACCTATAAACTGCATTCCCTGAACACTCTAGGTCCTTCTCAGTGCCTTTATTCTGTCTCTCTCACTGCCCTCGTCTCTATTGTGTCTGTCCCTCTGAGTCCCTCTCAGTGCCTTTACTCTCTCTCACTCTCTGCCTCTGAGAGGAGACCACACTGTGTCTGTGGAGTATTATCTCTTTTCTAATAAACTTTCCTTTTGACTTTAACTTTCTCGTGTGTGTTGAATTCTTTCTACGCTCTCCACCAAAGGATCCTCTTCTTCTCTCAGTGCAGGGCTTGGTCTCCCCCCACCAACTTGGGGAAATTTGCCCTGTACTGCATTAGTTTCAAGTTGAGAGATGGGACGCTTGAGATCCATAGGTCCATTGAAGGTTACTTCTGGTTTGAAATCTTCACAGGGTTCTTATGACCTATGGCCCCCTGATCACTTCTCTACCAAAAAACACAACTAAAAAATTACAAATACCATTCTTTTGTCTATGTGTGTGTACATGTAGATTAGATTTTTATCTTGCGCCTTAGTCTGAAGTTTAAAAAGTTAGGCTATCCTCAGGCAAGGGAAACAAAAGAAAACAAACAAACAAAAAGAACTATTTCAAACTAAAAAGTTTCTGTACAGCAAACGAAACCATCAACAAACTGAAAAGATAACGGACTGGGTGGGAGAAGATATTCACCTCTGATACATCTGATAAGGAGTTAATATCCAAAATTTATAAAGAACTCACAAAACTCAACAACAACAAAACAATCCAATTAAAGAATGGGCAGAAGACCTCCAAAGAGGAAATACAGATGGCCAACAGACACAAGAAAAGAGGCTTAAGATCATTAATCATCAGAGAAAAGCAAATTAAAACCACAATGAGATATTGCCTCACTCCTGTCAGAATGGCCATCATCAATAAATCAATACAAACAAGTGTTGGTGAGGATGTGGAAAAAAGAGAATTCTCCTACTCTGTTGGTGGGATTGCAAATTGGTACAGCCACTATGGAAAGTAATCTGGAGGCTCCTCAAAAAATTAAAAATGAATCTACCTTTTGGCCCAGCAATTGCTCTTCTGGGTATATATACAAGGAAAACCAAAACACTAATTTGTAAAGATCTATGCATCCCTATGTTCATGGCAGCACTATTCACAACAGCTAAGACATGGAAGCAATCTAAATGTCCATTAACAGATGACTAGATAAAGAAGTTATGGTTCCTACATATAGTGGAATATCACTCAGCTGTTAAAAAAAAAAGAAATTCTATCATTTGCAACAACATGGATGGACCTAGAAGTTATTATGAATAAGTCAGACAGAGAAAGATAAATACCATATGATTTCACTTATATCTGGAATCTAAGGAAACTAAATGAAACTAAATGAAAACAGACTCACAGATACAGAGGACAATATGGTGATGGCCAGAGGGAAGGGGGGTCCAGGAGCTGAGAGAATAAAGTGATACAAATTAGTAGTTACAAAATAGTCACAGGGATCTAAAGGACAGCATACAGAATACAGTCAATAGTACTGCAACGACTATGTGTAGAGCCAAGTGGGTGATAGAGTAATCAAAGGGATCATTTTATAAGCTGCATAAATGTCTAACCAATGTATTGTATATCTGAAACTAATAAAAAATAAAATGAAAATGTGAGAACTCAGGAAAAAAAAGCTAGGCTAGCATCCAACAAAGAATAATTTGATATTACTATATTACTTTGTATACAAGGAACCAAATGACTATATATGTATCAGAAATCATATATTTGTTCAATGTATTTTTAAATGTATTTATACTCAGGTATATTCTATACTCAGGTACCTTTTATAAGTACTTTAGAAACACTGTTAATTCTCATAATAACCCTATGGGGTTGGTACTATTTCCCCCATTTCACAGATAGGGAAACCGAGGCACCGAGATTAAAGTAACATCGTCCACGGTCATTTAGCAGCTAAGTGTGAGAAATGGAATTTGAACCCAGGTCATTTGATTCTATACTCCTGTGCTCATAACGCCTGCCCTTTCAAACTAAATGAATTGACCATCTATCAATCTAAGGCTACTCTGTTGTTTTGGTGAAAGTTCTGGTTAAGGAGAGTGACTTTGGAGAGTAGTTCCAACTAAGTAATGTTCTATTTCTTTTGATAGTTTTATCAAGAAACACCTATTAAGTGCTTGGTTACACGGGATCTATACCAAATGCTTCTTGAGTTAGGACAGACTTAGAAAATAAGTAGACATAGAAAATAAGACAGACTTATCTCAGGTGTATTTATGTTAACTATCCACAAAAAGTTAACAGAAAGATAAGGAAATATGGATACTTTACATGTCTATAGTGCTTTTAGAATTCATAATTCATTGCCTTTGCTCCATATACCAACTCTTTGTTGGCAGGGCAAATATTAGAAGTTTCATTTTAGAAAAGGCTCAAAAATGTTGTGACTTTCTAAAAATCACAGATAGTGAGCAGCAGGGTTAGCACTCTAATTCAGTTCTCCTGACTTCAAATTTAGTGATCTTTCCCCTACATTAAACCCTTTTCCTGCAATTTGAACTTGGCTGTTACCTTGGCAACAGTGCAGAACACTTAGTGCCTGGAAACCATGATACTACCTTCTCTGTGTACCACAAAGTTAAAAGTGTAACTGAGGTCACTTTAGCCATCAATGCCTTTGTCAAATTCCCTTCTTTGTGTGCTTCATCTTAACATTTTTTAAACCCGGTGCCCTTGTCACCAAAAACTCATTTATGGGGTCTTCTTGGAAGGTAGATCAGGTATCTATCTTTTCTGGAATGTCCGGAATGTCCAGTCATTCTGTTTCTCTTAGTCCTGGGTACGGAGCAGGAAGCCTGAAAGACACCTAATAGCAGCCTGGAGTGATACGTTTCTAGTACTTGGGCCTCACATTCCACCTCTGATAGAGTCATTTGCCTCTGAAGAGCTCTTGTGAGGTGTAGCTATTTGGCAAAGGTAAAGGGCCGTTGTCTTCTGTTAGTTTGAGGCAACAAACTTGGTCTAAGTGGCTTAGATAGGGAATAGTCTGTGTTTTAGAGGAGAAACCATACCTCTGGGGCTTACTTTTCATCCAGTTATGAAGTTTTGAAGAGTCAGTCGCTTGATCAGATTCTAAAACTTTAAGTGGTAGGTCATTTAAGATTTTGTCAGCAGGTGGCACTGCTCTCCTTACCAGTCTCTCCAAGAAAAGAATACGATTTCTGTTTCTTTGCTGTTGAATTCTTCAGACTTGTTTATCCACACTCAAACATTTCTCCTCAGTTTCTTTTTGTCTACAATATCTGTTTATGCGTTTTAATTTGTTTATACCCTCTTTCCACAAAAAATTTGAAATTGCTTACAACATGTAGTATACAATAGTACAACTTGCAATAAAGAATCTTATGATTTGATTCTGAGTTGCAGGTAACTGGATTTTATATATATATATAATTTTTCCATTGCAAGGTCTTTGGGTGAATGGAGAGGGAGAATGTCATGTTTTTTCCAGGATTTGAAATTAAAATGAAAGTTCTCACCTAAGTTTCTGTTGTACTCTTCTCAGCTAACCTAATTTACAGTAAGTCATTCTTGCTCTGTCAAATCTAGGCAGTATTTTTACTACCTGCAGCCTCAAGGATGCACAACTAGCCTTACTCAACTTATAAGCTTCAATTTTTCCAGATGCAGACCTCACCCACTAACTCGTCCTACACAGATTGCCCTCTGTCTGCAAGGCCTTGTCCTGGGCATTGGGCCCACCACAAGCATAGCCATTAGGTAGGCTTGGGTGTGCCCAAATCAATTTATGATAAAAGTCTTTTCTCTCAGAGCTTTTAGCTAGTTGGAGAAAGAAGACCTACGTTTATACTCATTAAAATTGGCTATTCCAGGCAATATTATCATCAAATGCCAAATCTTTGTGATGGGTCTTAATAGGGTTCGAGGATTGTTCTACCCATAAAAAGTAAATCGGTAAATTCCATCTCGTTTAAGTTTTTAACGGGAAACCAGATTAAAACTGCGGCTCCGATGCAGTTTGTAAGGAAAGGCGCGGTACGCTGGAGTGGGGGGCAAGCTGGGCGGAGGACCAGGAAAACCCCTCAGTAGCAGCCACGCAGCTCCGGTGTACTTGACGGTGATTACCCTGAAGGACCAGCGTCTCGCCCCGCCCACTGTTGTTGAAGGTTGGGACGACGATTGCCGGGCAGGGCCTGGCGGGGGTACTTCAGGGAGCCAGCTCCTAGAGTTCCGCTGGGCTTCGAAGTTGGGGGCCCGGCTCCCCGCGCCCGCGGGAGGTGGCAGCGGCGGGGCGGGCGGCTTTGTGGCGCGCGCGGGTTCCACCAAGGGCGGCGCGGAGGCGGGACCGGACAGAGGCATCCACCGCCCCCGGCACTCGGCCCAGCAGCCGGCGCCCCGCATGGCCAGCCCTGCGGGATCCGGCTTCCCGGCGCGCACCAACAGCCGCCTGGACGCGTTCTTGCGGAGGCATCTGGCGCCCGAGGTCTACGACGCCATCCGCGCCTACGAATCGTGCATCGTGGTGTCGGACTCCGAGAAGCACACCTTAAAGTACGTGGTCCTCAGCGACCGGCTCATCTACCTGACCGAGAACCCGCCCAAGTCCATCCGGCGAGTCGTGGCGCTGCGGGATGTCCTGGCCATTGACCTGGTGAGGAGAGCGGGCGGGCAGGTGGGCTCGCGAGAACCCCCTTCTTGGGCAGCCTAATCCCAGACATCCTGCACGCGGGAAGGAGGAGGAAGACCTTCCCCTTCCCTCCGTGGACTCCCGTACTCTCTTTAATTTACTTCAGTATTAGCACCCACTTAGGGAAACCGTGGATTGCTGTATGCACTCGGAATAACGATGCCTTGCCGGTTCTCACCGTGTGTACCTTCCGGTCATCCCCCGTCCCCTCAAATCCTATCAAAAGTATATTTTAAAGTCATTCCTTCGTTCATTAAGCGCCTAGGCAGTGCCAGGCTCTGTGCTAGACACTAACGATGCAAAAATGAAATAGGGCTCCCTCCTAGAAGCTGCTGTGGGCGCCGACAGAATGCCAACACCAATGCAAATAAATAAATGCCATGTGATATGCGCTATTATGCTTTGTTTACTTTTTTATCTCCAGAGCTTAGAGCATATTAGGTGCTCTAATATGAATAAGTGAATGAATGAATGCATTGATAAGATGCGCAGAGGATGTCTGGCAATCTCTGGCAGGTCTCTTGATCGAAACTGGGCTCCGGCTATGCTGGAAAACCTTCCTGGAAGGACTGTCATCAGAGCGGAGCCTTGAAGGAGATAAAGTCTGGCACAGGCACGCCTCATCCCAGTTTTTAGTGTGCTGCTATTATATCCCTTTCCTCCAAAAATAGATTTACCTTATAAACCAGCATCAGATTGCAAGCAGTCTCCTCTCCAATTACCGTTTTTCTCCTCTTTGGCTCCCTTTGCCTGAGCTGCTCTCCAGGTGTGTTCTTCCTTTTTCCATTGGGGACAGGTGTCTAGCCTTTTTTCTTTTTCCCTTGTCTGAGTCTGAATCCCCCAAGGGAGAGGTGGCGGGACTCTTGATGGAGCTGTTTTGCCAAGAGAATTGTAGCTTGTTTGGAACATATCTGTATGAAAAGAATAAAATTAAATGGAAAAAAAAATGTTTTTTTTTTTTTCCTACTTAAAATACCTCTTTGGGATATCGCTGTGAAAATTTATTTGCTTTTTTTTTTTTTTTTTTGAGTAAAACTTGAAAGTAAAACTGCCGTTTTCTTCACTGCCACCATTTCTATTGTCTTGACTAAACTAAATTTTAAACTAAAATTGAAAAAAAAAAAATTCCCTTTACCAAATGTTTTAAAAAACATTAAATGCTCAGCTTTTTCTAGTATATAGTAAACACTTATTGTTTTGACAAAGTAATGATGTGAGCTATTTTTACTCTTCCCAACAATTCTACTTCTAGGTATTTATCTGAAGAAAGCCAAACACTAATTCAAAAAAATATATACACCCCCATGTTCATTGCAGCACTATTTACAATAGCCAAGAAATGGAAGCACCTAAGTCCCCATCTATAGATGACTGGATAAAGAATATGTACATATATACAATGGACTAAAGCCATAAAGAAGAATGAAATTTTACCATTTGAGACAACATGGATGGACCTAGAGGGTATTATGCTAAGTGAAATAAGTCAGACAGAGAAAGACAAATACCACGATTTCACTTATATGTGGACTCTAAAGAACAAAATAAACAAAGAAAACAAACAGACTTGTAGATAGAACAAACTGATGGTTGCCATGTAGGAGAGGCGTTGAGTATGGGTGAAAAAGGTGAAGTGATCAGGAAGTACACATTGGCAGTTACAAAATAGTCACAAGGATGTCAAGTACAGGATAAGGAATACAGTCAATAATATTGTAATAAATATGTATAGCGCCAGGTGGGTACTAGACTAATCCAGGGATCACTTTGTAAATTATATAAATGCCTAAACACAATACTGTACACCTGAAACTAATATAAATAACATCAAATGTCAACTGTAATTGAATAAAAATTTTTAAAAAGTAATAAAAGAGATAGTATACATATTTCAGTAGTTGATATATATCTTTCTTTTTGAGCTGTCAAAATCTGAAAAGTATAGTAAAACTCCCTAGGCCCCCAGCCAAGAATCTTACAAAAAGCATACCAATTTATTTGGTCATGCTTTGTATAGAGAATTTACCTTTCAGGGACATAGAAGAATGTATAATGTCTATAAAGGTGCTAAACAAATCTAAGATTTCAACATCGTCGACAGACTAAATGTCCATCTTGCACAATATAGTTTAACTTTGGTTAAAGTTGTGGTAGGCAGATTAATGGCCCCCAAAGGATATCCTTGGAACCTGTGAATATATGGCATGGCGAAGTGGAATTAAAGTTGCAGATAGAGTTAAGGTTGTTTGCTAATTAGCTGACTTTAAAATAGGGAGCCTGTTTTGGATTATCTGGGTAGGCCTAAAGTAATCACAAAATCCTTAAAGCTGGTAAAGGGAGGCAGAAGAGTCAGTGGCAAAGTGATGCAGCATGAGAAAGACACTGATTTTGAAGGTGGAAAGAGGCCCAGGGCTGAGAAACGTGGGCGGTCTCTAGAACAGCGGTCCCCTAGTGCCACACTTTTTGGCACTAGGAACTGGTGCTCCTATGAGACTCTAATGCCTGATGATCTGAAGTGGAGCTGAGGCGGTGATGCTAGTGCTGGGGAGCAGATACAGATGAAGCTTCGCTGGCTTGCCAGCTGCTGACCTCCTGCTGTGCAACCCTCTTCCTAACAGGCCACAGACTGGTACCAGTCCATGGCCTGGGGGTTGGGGACCCCTGCTCTAGTAGCTGGAAAAGGCAAGGAATCAGGTTTGAACCTCCATAAGAAATGCAGTCTTGCTGACACAATTTTAGCCCAGTGAGTCTGGTTTCAGACTTCTGACCTCCAGAACTATAATAGAATTTGTGTTTAATGCCACCAAATTTGTGGTAATGTATTACAGTAGCCATAGGAAATGAATACAGAACTATTCTCCATTATGGTGTTTTAAAACGGGTAATTGTTTTAAAAAATATTGCTTCAGTGAGAAATAAATATAATTATGCCAAGCAAAAATTCCTTAATAATCTCTTTTTCTGAGTTTTTATAAAATAATTCTAGGGTTATTATTATATTTTGGTACTTGTATTAAGCTCCATTGAATGTGTGAAAAATCGGTGTACAGAATTGCATTTACCTAGTACCAATTAATAACCACAATGTAGTTGACTAGTCATCCCCCTATGAACACTATGTCCTCACTTACTACCACAATGTGTAGAATTTTCCTGATTTCTGTGTTATATCGCATGTAGTTGTCCTCCGATCCAGGCTAAATCAGTCACTTCGATTACATTTTTCAGTGTCAGGCAGCTTTCTTTTCTACAACCCGTTCCTCCTTCCTTGAAAGATCAACTGTTTAATTTTCCTTCTATGTTGGTGTCTTCTTTCTTGGGCCTCCTGTTTAGGTAGTTTTTTCAATTCTCAAAGGTTTTCTCATTTTACAGTACAAGTTGTCTTCTTGTTATTTAACTTTCAGTTGGCTCAAGTTTCTCATCCTACCTTTGTTCTTACTTTCATGTCTATAAAACCTGTAAGCAAACCAGTCCTTTATGTCCCTGGGCCTCCTTGCTCTATGTTAGGCCAGATTATTCTATTTAGTTCACGTCACATGTCACAGTTACACTTAAGAAAAAAATTTGCAAATATACACATAAAATTCTATTCTCTCCCCTAAGGAAAAAAATTAAAGGTTAACAGCAACAAAAAGACCGGAACTCTGATTGAATACAGGCAAGATTTCCTTTCCATCAAAGACGAGGACAAAGTGCTTTTGGAGATCTTAGTAAGTGTTTAATACAGTTCATCTCCTAAAAAGGAAGAGTTTCTAAGATTGCTTTGGCAGAGCTTTTATAAAGGCTGATGTTTTCCTTAAAAGTTACTTTTGAAATTATTCTCTAGAGTTCTGCTCTGTTGTATGCATCAACACATTATTCTTTAAGTCCTTCTAAAATTAGACACATATTGCTAAAATGTGTGAACCAGATATCTAGAACAATCTGTGAATTTTCTATGGGTTCACTCCATCCCAACGCCTATAAAGAAAAAACATCTATCAACTCCAGCAAATCTACCTCTTGCCTCTCTTTTCCTTCATCCTTTCACCACTGCCCCCTCATTGAATATCTGCTCTCCAGCCATCCTAGGCTCCATGTGGCTTCTTGAACTGGCACAAAATGCACCTTCTACAGCCTGACTTCTTTGCTTGTAGTGTACATGTCCTCCTCCAAGTTAGTTCGTATCATCATATTTACAATTCACCTCTTCTTCCTCCTTCCTTACCTTTTCCTTCTCTTTTTCCTTTTAGAAATGTAAAAACCATTCCTAGATCAGACAGAAACAAGTCACAAGCTGTGCTGAAGGGGCCACCTGTAATTTGCAGGCTGATCCCTGCTTTCTTCCTTTCATATTCAAATCCTTCACTTTTTCTAGGCTAAACCCAAATCATTCTCCAAATCACTTTTCCTTGACTGAGCCCATGAGGGCAGGCCTTTTGGTCTATTTTGTTAATTGTTGTATCTCTGGTTCCTAGAACACTGCCTGGCACAGATGGGATGATCAGTGAATACTTGTTAAATATTCAAGGCATCTGTTTCTTCTCTTCCTAAATTATCATCTGTAGTATATACATTTGGGCATTTTATATACATTTTTATTCAGCTTTTTCTTTCTATCTGTGTAGATTTGGTTAAATTTTTTAACCTCTACTCTGGTGCTTCCACCTCTTCACCTGTAAAATAGAGATAACAGCACCGTCCTTATGGAGTTGCTGGAAGAAGTAAATTCATTAATAAATGTAACATACTTAAAACAGCTATGATAAGAGCTACGCAGATGTTAGTTATTATTAATAACCTTTACTAATGTCTATTAAGTCTATTAAGGTTTACCATGAATCTGTAAGATGGATATTATTATCTCCCTTTTCAAATCAGGGCAGTTAGCTTTAGGAGATTTAGGAAATTGGGAAAGAAAATACTTTTTGAGCATCTATTATATATTAAATGTTTTAAAATACTTCATCTCATTTATTCTTGAAAATCTGCCCAGTAGGTTTGACAAGTTTAATACGTTCAAAAACAATTCCTGATCTCCACCCCAAACCTGTTCATCCCTTAGCTTTCTTTATTTTAGGAAATAACATCTTTCATTATCCTTAATTCTGCCTTTCTCTTGCTTCCCACATCCAACATATCAGAATATCCTCTTTTTTAAAATTAAATTTATTGAGGTAACATTGGTTAATAACATTTTATAAATTACAGATGAATAATACTATAATTCAATATCTGTATACTCTATTGCCTGCTCACCACCTAAAGTCTAGTTTCCTTCCATTACCATATCTTTGCGCCCCTTTACCCAATTCACCCTCCTCCCACCCTCTTCCCCTCTGCTAACTACCATTCTATTGTCTGTATCTATAAATTTGTTTGTTTTGTTAGTTCATTTGTTACTCTTTTGTTTCGTTTTCCACATATGAGTGAAATCATAGTTTTTGTCCTTTTCCATCTGACTTACTTCACTTGATATAATACCCTCAAGTCCATCATGTTGTCAAATAGCCTCCTGTTGTCGCAAATAGCAGTATTTCATCTTTTTAATGGCTGAGTAGCATTCTGTTGTATACATGTATCCCACTTTCTTTAGCCATTAATTCAACAACAAACACTTAGGCTATTTCTATGTCTTGGCTATTGTAAATAAAGCTGCAATGAACATAGGGGTACATATATCTTTACAAATTAGTGTTTTCATATTTTTTTGTTGAATACCCAGAAGAAGAATTGCTGGATCATATAATGGTTCTATTCTTAAATTTTTAAGGTACCTCCATATTAGTATATCCTCTTGACTTGTGTAGAGGAGGAAAATGTTTTCCTTGACTCTCTTACGGTCCCTGGTTGGGTCTGAAAATTAAACAGACAAACACAGATTAACAGGATAATTTATTTAATGTAGATTTTACATGACATGGGAGCCTTTATAAGGAAAAGAAGACCCGAAGAAATGGTTAAACCTGTGCATTTTTAATACTAGGTTTAATGAAGAATGGGAAGTTGTGGAAAAATGTGATAGGACAAAAAGGAATATGAGCTAAGGGTAATAAACTTAGCAAGGTCTGTTTGGATTCCTCTGGGCATCCCTGCCTCATAGATAGGATGTTTCTTTCCTCTAGGTATAGGGAGGGCACTTCTCCCATGCTTCAAAGGAGGTGAGTGAGGAAAAGTCAGAGATACTTTCCTGCATCTGCCCTTCTCTCAAATTCCTTCAGCTTAAAATAGTATGCCAAGGTGCCATATTTTCGGGTAGCATGTGCTGAACCCTGTCACTATTTTCTAAAATATATATAGCTATAACCCTTTTTATGACTTTTTTGATGCTATTTGTCCATTCCCTTATCTAGACTATTGAAAAAATTGACTCCAAACTGATTCCTCTTCACATAGCAGTTGGGATGACATTTTTTAAATATAAATTCTAAATTAAATTATGTCACTTTTCTGTTTCAAAGTCACCATAAGCTGGCAAACTCCTTATTGCCTATAAGAGCCTCCATGACTTGACCCCTCCATCTCTGACTGAGTTCCTACCACTCTTCTCTGAGCTCTTTATGCTCTTCAACTGTGTCTCAGTGCCTTTGCACTTGCCATCCTACCTGGAACTCTCTTCCTCCAGATTTTCAGAGACTTGATTACTTCTTGTCAGCTGTGTTTCCAAATTCAGCATCACCTGCACAGGGATGCCTTCTGTGACCACCCAATCTAAAGTACCTTTCCTCCTTCAAACTTAATCTGTTTGTTTCAAAACACTTATCATTATCCGCATTATAAGATTAACCTTTTTAATGATTATATGTCTCATAGTAAATGTAGGCTTCATGAGAACACGACCTTGTCTGTCTTGTTTATCCCTGTGTCAATGTGCACTATATTTCCTGACACATAGTAGATAGTTAATAATTATTTATCAATTGGAAGAATTAATAAATGAATGAATGCTCATTCATTCAATAAATGAATGACTGTGCATCCAAGTGAATGGATGCTCAGGTCCATCATACAGTTTTACCTCTTAGAAAGGGAGATCATATTTCCTTATTTCCAAGTATTGAGGGACTCCAGAGACTAACAATTCATCACACTGGCCAGAGTTACATAACCACATAGTGGCAGAGCAAATTCTCACAGGTCTCCTGATGCTCAGGTATAGCTCTCTCCGCATTCATTTTGTGTTTGTATTATAAGTGTCATGCATTTTGAGAGGTAATAGGAGTTATGTAAGATGAGACTATATTATAGATACTTCTTTTCCTCTTTTGCTTTCTTTCTCTATTTTGACTCATTTGTAATATTTCAAAACTCTCACCGTAGGAGGCAGAAAGAGGTGATAAACTGTTAACAGTCATTCTGGCTTCTTCGTAATAGTTTGTTTGCATAGAATAGTTTGGATATTGCATTCAAGTCTTGATAAACTTCATGAGGACAGGCATTTTATCAGTCTGACTCATTGCTATATCCCCTGTGACTGGAATGATAGTGTATTGGTCAAGATAGCTTAGGTTAAGCTGCACTAACAAACAATCCCAAAGTCTCAGTGCTTTAATACAACACAGAGTCTATGTCTTATTCAAGCTGTTTGTCTATTATTGATTAGTGAAGGGTTTTATTCATCTTAGTCACAAAATATGTGATACTTAGTCGCACATCTTAGTATCAGAAGCCTCTCAACATATGCTTGCTTAATCACCATGGTGGAAGAAATTAAGTTGGCAAATTAGATACTGAGTCTTAAGCTTCAAACTAGAGGTAACACATGTCACTTCTCATATTTCATTAGCCAGAGTCAGTCACATGGCTACGCCTAACTTAAAAGGGGGTGGGAAAATGTGATCTTATCAAGTGTGCATTCCACATGTCTGGAAGAGAATGGGAATATTGTGAACAGTTCTAATGCCTATGTCAAATTGCTGACATTTTATTGAGTGCTTATTATATGCCACCCAGCTGCTATTCTAAGTTTAAATTAAGTTCTTTCTCCTTATAACAATCTCAGATAATAATGTTAACTGTTTTACAGATAAGGAACTTGAAATAAAGAGAATTTAAGCAATTTGCCCAAGGCCATCCATTAATGGCAGAAACAGAATTTGAACCCAAGTAGTCTGGCTTGACTGATTATCCAGAAGACTCTAAGTTCTTTGAAGACAAACTCCATCTAATATTTTGTATGTTTCAATTCTGTACTTTGCAGTAGGAACTCAAAAATATCCATGATGAATTGAACTGAATAAAATTGAAACTAGAAAATTGAAACTAGATAATCAACTGCTGAAAGCTTAGGGCTCTATTATTCTCTGAAATTAAAGCTGATAGAAGAAAATCTGAATCAAAATTCTGAAACCAAGACTAACGGATAAGGCAAATATGGCATTGCTAACAAAATATTGGAAAACAAGAAACATCCCTTTGCATTCTGAAAGTAGTATTTTCATATAAGAGTAAATCAGTTCCAGTTGCAAATATAAATATGGATAAAATTGACAGATAAATTCATGACGACATCTTATTTTTAGAGATTTTGTTAAAATAGTTAGGGATATTTTCAGATTAAGCCTTATTCATTTGAGATAATAACAAAGAAGAGCATTCTCTTCTCTCCCAAAATGCCCCTTTCTGCTACCACCACAGACAAATACTAGACTGAGTAGACCGTGAATCTAGCTCAGTATTGTATTACTGAGGTGCATTACTGAGGTTCCTATGAACAATCAAAGGTCATTAATTATAATAGATATCTATTAAGTGGCACTCTGTGCCACCCTGTGACAAACAATAAATGGATTACCTTATTTAATCTTATTCTATAAGAAAAGCGATCCCTGTTTTTTTTACAGATGGGAAAACTGTGGCAGAGAAAAGGTAAATACTTGAACAAGGTCATGTATTCAGAAAACAGCTGAGCTAGAATGTAAATTTAGGTCTTTTAACATCAGAGCCAGCATTCTTTAACCACTATGAACATAGTAACACAGTTGTTCTGCAAATTTGTGGTATTTCTTTAAAAGTTTTTAAGTTCTGCAATGACGACAACATAATTACCTCAGTATGCAGATTGCATGGTTCCTGAGCATTGGTTGGCAGGAGGGGAGATGAAGTTATAAACACCTTTTCCATTCTCTAATACAAGGGTCCCCAACCCCTGGGCCACACAACAGAAGGTGAGCGGGTGCAGGTGGGCAAGCAAGCAGAGCTTCAGTTGTATTTGCAGCTGCTCCCCAGCACTAGCATCATCACCGCAGCTCCACCTCAAATCATCAGGCATTAGATTCTCGTGAGGAGCGTGCAACTTAGATCCCTCAAATGCACAGTTCACAATGGGGTTCACGCTCCTATAAGAATCTAATGCCTGATGATCTGAGGTGGAGCTGAGGCGGTGATGCTAGTGCTGGGGAGCAGCTGCAAATACAGATTAACATTAGCAGAGAGGTTTAACTGCACAGAGACCATAATAAATCAATTGCTTGCAGACTCATATCAGAACCCTATCAGTGAATGGCAAAAGACAATTAAGTTGCATCTGGTGGCAGGTTTTATAGTGGCAAATAAGATGATGTACGTCAATTATACAGCTGCATCTGGTGGCATCTGATTTGTATAATTATTTCATTATACATTATGATGTAATAATGATAGAGATAAAGTGCACAATAAATGTAATGCGCTTGAATCATCCTGAATACCTCCCTCCCCCCACCAACAAGGTCTGTGGAAAAACTGTCTTCCATGAAACTGGTCCCTTGTGCCAAAAATGTTGGGGACCACTGCTCTAATATCATCTCTCTGTATTCAAGGTTGTTGTCCTTCAAAGCTGAGACTGGTATCATTGCTTTTGCTGATGAGGTTCAAGGACAGGTTTGGCTGAAAAGATCCTGGTGGAATATAGAATCTTTTTCACAGGGCCAAGCCTTGAAAGCTTTTTTTCTTGTAGTCTTAGCTGTGGCTCTTGGCCCCGAGGCAATGATTTTTCAAGCCTAACATCGAAATAGCCTAGGGAGTCTCCAATATTATGATAAGGCAGTGCCCAATTCTCCAAACTGCTAATTCCTTTTGGAATATGTTAGTGGATCATTCATGCCAGCAATATTCATAGATTACAAAACAGCTCATCTACTCAGACTTCCCTAGGGATTGGCATGCCATAGCCCAGGTAGAGTATAATGAGAAAAAAAAAAAATGACCTGGTGGAGATGGCGATGAGTTTTTTTAATTATGACAGTGGAAGGATTTGCTAAATGCTAAATGTAAAAATAACTTCTATTTAGGAGTAAGCTTATATACAGTGTGATACAGGTAATTGCTAATGTGGTTTAATTTGAGGAAAATCCATTCAAGATATCTCCATATAATCATTGGCCACTTCATCAGTAGATTGAATCCTTTGGGTTTACCATTGGTCCTCCTCTGGATCCTCTCTGAAATGTACTTAGAACAGGTAATTTATTAAATTGCAATTTGACTCAATTAATTTATTACTTTCTCTCCTTTTTTTGAAGACTGTAGAGTTAGAGCTAACAATACAAACAGAAAGTTAGGTCTTGAAAGTACCACGGAAGTTGAAAGATATCTCAATATTCAGCTCTTTTTAGACCTTACTTCCACTATCTGATGTTCCATTAAGTAAAATGATCTCGACTGTAGCTCAGCACATGATGTCTGCCTTCAGTTTTTCCCTTTTCCTCTGGTTTATGTTTTTCTTCTTTCTACAGTGTACAGTTCTATTAAACAGATGTTAGCTTTTATATGGAGCATTCTACCTATATTTTGAATTACCAGAGACTATAAATATATAAATATATAAAAAATGGTACCGATTTTTGAGTATCTCATGATTTAGAGAGGAATGCAAG